TTAGTGGTTGGATAGACATTTAAAGGGCACTGCTTTCTTTAAAAAAAAAGTCTTAATTGAAAACTGTACTTTATCTTTGTACCGAACTTGCACCATTTCATGATTTTGGGCACTTAGCTTTATCATAGTTATATGTGAATTCCTGTTTCTAAGTTAACTCTTAAGACACAAAATTTATTTCAAAGAGTCTGATTTTGTAAGGAAACATCTTGCAATCAAATTAACCAAGTAATTATATGATTCATTTTCCTTTTATTATTTTAGTGTGAATAACCCTCACAAAAGGGACCAAAGTATATACAGTCCTAATATCCAGAGTTGTATGACATGATAAATGAACCAAACTGTAGTATATATATATATATATATATATATATATATATATATATATATATATATATATATATATATATATATATATATATATATATATATATTATATGGGCATTTTTGTCCTATAATTTAGACTAAGTATGGTTTTCTTATAATTCATCTGTATTTAGTGCATGTAACTGTTAATTGTCTTTGTCAGCAATTAAAGAGGAAATCTACAATTTCTGAGGAGTAACCCAACACTAGCAGCAACTGTAACAATGCAGCCTCTTCCCCTGAGGATTCTAACACACTAGAACCTTGATCTGAAAAGGTACTAATTTGTTTTTTTGTGAAGGGGGTGGGGTGTTCTGTCAACATGAAACAGTAAGTTAGTGGAAATGAATTTTCAAATCTTGTTTCATATTTTTTTCCTCAGCCAATTGTAAATTTGAACCATTCATAACACACAAGAAATGTGGGATAAAACATTTTTTCAATACATAATTCTCATTGTTTGTCTTGTAACAATTTAAGCTTTAATTTCTTTGAAGAGATCCATATTTGGAAAGACAATTTAGAGAGGGATTTGATATTGATGATATCAAAGAGATGGAAGAAAAATTTCAAGATGTTGAAAATCATGACATACTATGGGCACAAGTAACTAAGACTCTAAACTCGCACAAAATTCTTATTACATTAATGTGAAAAATTTGAATAAAAACATATAAAAAGGTTGTTGATGACGGTAAAAATAACTAGAATGGGGAAGACGACTTGGAAATTTTTGAAGAGTTCATTTCGTATGGTAACAGGGCCTCTTCAACAGCAAAAATAGCGTACGACAGCTCGAAAGGTACAATGTAGTCCCAAGCTCAAAAGATATAATGAACAGTCCCCAATCTGACGTAAGTCCTCTTTAGCCTGTTTGCTATCAACATCCCAAAGAAAGAGAACAAACCTGAAATAGTCAGACGGACCAGAGCGACTTGAATTCTAAAAAACACAAATTTGAAAAGAAAGGTACCCTATCAAAGTCCTTCGAAAAACTAACATCCCGGGGTGACAAAATTATTGAAGAAATGAAAAAGCAACGTGCAGCAAAAATTGAACGGTTTGATTAACTGTTAGATTTGCTTGGGGAAAGAGACTGAATTTGGCTTTCCGTCCTGGTCATCATATTTCTCTTGTTTTTTAGAAACAAAGGTTCATCTATCAGTTTATCATATATTCTATGGATCCACTAAGTTCTTGTATATATATTATACTCAGGTGAACGTTAATGTCCTTGGGCCTCTCGTGTTGGTTTAACGTCCCTCTCTTGAATTTCTCACTCATATGGAGACGCCACCACTTGTCGGTGGAGAGCTGTAAATTTTGTCCTATACTAGACACTTACGGCTATTGAGCAGTGAAGGATCATTTTCGTTCTACATGTACCACCTGCTGCGACTTGGGACCTTAATTTTTACGGTCTCGTCCGAAGGACCAATCTCCACATCCCACAGTGGGATTCGAACACGCGACGTAAGGATGAGCTCTTGACTTTGCGATCTTAGATCAGAAGCTTTAACCATCAATTATCGCTGGCGGCCTTAGGACCATTGATTAAAAACGGATCTTTTTCATGTTAGCATCCACTGTACACGGGAGCTCGGTTTATATGGTCTCATCCGAAAGTCCTTCAGTGGAATTTGAACCCGTGTCGCAAGGTTTAACTTCTTTCTCTGCGATTCAAGAGCAGACGCTCTACCACCGCGCCACTCGAGCGTCAATAGAGGATTTGTAAATAGTTCGCGAACTTTTCGACCTCGCATATGTGTCTTTTACTGCCAAATATATTATCTAAAATATGCAAGGGGTATAAGAATCATTTGGTTGTATGTTTGATGTTTAAGATCCCTCTCGAGAAGTTTTCAATCGTCACCACTTCAGGGGGCAAATTTATACACGGCATTTTTCGTGCCAACATCCTTTTCGACATATAGGACCTCGATTTACACGATCTCATCCCAAGTACCCGTCGTCATGTGCCGCATTGGAATCAAACTGCGACTTTAAAATCAACCCCTTTCTCCTCGACTCTTACAGCAGACGCTCTAACCACTGTGCCATGCGGGCAACTGATATTGAGTAATAAACTGTTTTAAAATAATGAGGTCTTAAATTACTGCAGTCATTTTTTTTTGGCAGTTTTTTGATAAAATATAATAAAAAGATTGATTATTTTAACTATATAATTTCACTATAGACAAACTCTTAAGTTAATTTTGATAATTGAACTAAAAATTGCCATGTATTTAGTATTTAAGGCTTGTTTGAAAATATTGTTATTTATAGGGTTATGAAAATCTAGCTGTTATTGAACGTTTACCTTTGAAATTTCTAAAGCATGTATTTAATTTAAAAACTTCCACGCCATCATATATGGTCTATGGTGAAACAGGTCGTTTTCCTCTATACTAGTATATCTCAATATGCATGTACAGTAGAATGATTTCTTACTGGGCCAACCTTTTTTTCAGGCCCGCAAAATAAAATTGTAAATGTGTTATACAAATATACGTTAAAACTTTATTGTGATGGAAATTTAACAAATCCCTGGTTAAACTGTATACAGAAAATCTGTAACGTGTGACTTCTCAAATGTATGGAACCAACAAGGTGCCAATATTAATTATGAATGGATAAGTGCTATTGTTAAGCAAATACTACAAGATCAATTTATTCAAATTGGTTCAGTGACATAAATAATTCCTTAAAAGGACAAAATTACATACTATTTAAACCAAACTTTGGATTTGAAAACTATCTTTGTAAATTATCCCCCAAAGAAAATACTGTTAAAATTTCGCACCGCAAATCATCATATACCAGTAGAAACTGGAAGGTGGTGTGGTATACCATTTTCTGAAAGACTTTGTACATTTTGTAATAACGGTCAAATTGCATCTTCGCTAGTCAAGGGTTTCTGATACGCTACTCTCCTCATGAACTCTTGGCATACGGTGAAGTCAAAAGACGGGATTATTTTCGTCACGTGATCTCGAATCTATCAGGTACGCACAGATTGCGTCATCGACATAAATAAAGACGCGTGTTTAAAAAAAATTAAAATCAAAGTTTTTTTCAAGAATAATTAAGAAGCAATAATTGAGTCATGCTTATTTATTATTTATAGTACAAATCTGAACTTAATAGATTTTTAACCGCATATTTAGAAGATATTGGATGACACCATAGCTATTCATAGCTTACGGATCATTGTTTACTTGCGTTTTTCATCGAGAGTCAAGAAGTATCCCGAACGCAGATATCGTCATTTACAAAAAACAATTGCTGATTGGTCGACCGGGTGTACCCAATCCCAATCAGAACTCGAGAAAAAAAAACCCAACTTCTGTCAACACCGTATGCCAAGGGATTATGAGGAGAGTAGCGTATCAGAATTCCTTGGCTAGCGAAGATGGTCAAATTGCTGATGAATTTTATTATATTCTAGTATGTAAAGCTTTAGATAATGTAAGGAAAAATACCTATAGGTAATTATAATTGTAATAGACCAAATGTTATTAAATTTACAGAACTTAATACGTCAACTCAAAACGAACAAGTCCTGAAAAAATTATGTATGTTTATTTTTAAAGTTTATGACGCTGTCTGTCCTCCTTTATATATTACATGTACTTTCTCTGTTATTGTCTGTTTCCCCCTGTTTAACATAATCTTCTCTGAGGCATGCCATACGGTGGGATACATTTTTGTTCAAATCCAATGTCAACTTCCTGTTTGACTGTGCGTCTGTCCGTTTCATATATAACAAATTTTCGTCGCAGTTTTCTCAGCAACTAATCGCAGATGCTTGAAATTTTAACACTATCTTTTCTGAGACATGCCATATGATGGGATACATTTTTGTTAAAATCTGATGTCAACTTCCTGTTTGTCTGTGCATCTGTCCGTTTCAAATATAACAAATCTTCATTGACTCATCGCAGATACTTGAAATTTAAAGACAATCTTCCCTAAGGCATGCCATAAAATTGGATACATATTTGTTTAAATCTGATGTCAACTTCCTGTTTGTCTGTGCGTCTGCCTGTTTCATACATAACAAGTTTTCGTCGAGCAGCTTTCTCATTAACTATTCATAGCAGATGTTTAATTTTAGTACACTCCTTGTTGAGGCATGCCATATAATGGGATTAATTTTGATATGAATCTGATGTCAACTTCAAATTTTTCTGTGCATCTGCCTGTAATTGATCATGTATATATTAACATGATAGTGTTTATTATATTTTGTATTGTACATGTATATACATGTATTATATATTTTTTTGTACCTCTGACTAGTTTGTTTGATATGTATATATGTTTTATTGTACCCCATGTACTAATATTTTGGTTCGGGAGAATAAATTGAACTTGAACCTGTATTTCGAGTTCCAGGTTTATAAGACTCCTTGACAATAAAGCAAATTTCCCTTAAAATCGTATTGTTATGTTTATAAATGTCTTGTGAAAGATCATGCTTAAGTGGTTACAGGGCATTGTAATAATTAATTAATATGTGTGAGCTGAGAAGGTGGTGATCCTTTTGGTTTACTTTTATGTAATTTCCTTCTTAAAATTCAGGTGAATCTGTCACAGGTTGTCATCTTAACACGAACCGCAAAGAGTGCGTCACACCTACTGAAATGTTATGCATAGATATACCAAAAATATAAAGCACTTCGGTGCAAGCCATAACTTTTTATCTTAAATATATATACCTGCTGAAACAAGTGATTATGGCAGCCTGTGGACTATTACGAATTCTGTTATGTGTTGGATTTACTTGTGTCTATGTAGTTGTGTCCTTTCCATTTTTTGCGGATCACCATCTGCCGTCCAATATGGCCCCTGTTAACTGTGGCGGAAACAGAACAGTGTATATAGTTACAGCTATTGGACATCGGTTATGTGGAGAGGATTATTTTTACATAAAAAAAGACAAACTGAATCAATTCGGAAAAGTGGGTATATTTATACTTTTGTTTTACACTATCAAATGTAAAATAATTCTTTTGTGTTCATGCAGAGTTGCTTTTTTCTTTCCATAGAATAGTTACATAACAGTGGTCTTTTATATTGTAAATGGGAAATCATTATTAAGAACCGCTTGCAATTTTGAATCCCTCCTACCCTACATATTTTACTTAATATCAGTTTGGCTGCCCCAAAAGTTAACAAAGTTATGTATATACAATTTAAAATTTAGGATTAAGTTTTAACACCATAAAAGTTTTGTTCATATCAGGGTAATTTCGCGTCTATTAAATTGACATTTGATTGGTGATTAAAAATACCGCAAATTTTTAGAAAAGTTTGAATCTAGTGACGTAATGCTCGAATTTCTTGTGGTATGTTATTTTTGAGGTAGAAAATACTACAAAATCTGACACATCTGTTTCATATAAGTATATAATACAATTATAGCCTTTTGATGAGGTCAATCCCTCGATATATAGACCTTAGAGAAAGCATATCGACCGAGCACGAAGTGCGAGGTCGATATGCTTTCTCTAAGGTCTATATATCAAGGGATTTTACCGAATCAAAAGGCTACAATTGTTTTATTATTTTTTTATCAGTTAATAAGAAATGTCTTAAAATTCTACTTTCTAGTTCTCAGTACCTTCTCATGCAAGGCATTGTTATGTCATTTGCATTATGACGTCATAGCTATGAAAACCAGCTGTAGTATCTGTTTTTAGAAACATCCAGTTTATGAAGACTATTGTGACGTCAGCATTATTGTTGCTTCACGGAAGAACGTTTCCAATTTTAGAAACAGCAGGTTAATAAATTTTTAAAATAGAAACATCCAGTCTGTAACACTTTTCATACTTGATCATGTGATCCAGTTTGAGCCAATCAGATAGTTGGAACAATATAGAAAAATAATAATTTACTTTAAATAGACGTTTACAGGTGACGTAAATATGCAGTTAATAATGAGAATCTTAGATCACTTAATTTAAAAGATCCTAAATGTAGGGAACCCCGATCCTTCAACTGGCGTCGGAATTTCATATTATGGATTCTCTCAAAGATTACGCCAGACGATGGGATGGATATGAAAAAACATTGACGCTTTCTCAGAATGGATTAAATGTATCAGATCCACGTTAAAGTCGCGTATTAAAAGACTGAGGGGCAATATGAAAACCATCTATCTTTCTGTGTTAAATTATCCAGAAGCAAAAACAAAAAAAAACAAAAAAAAAATTAGATAGATTACATGATCAGTACGTACTGGTCCCTGCCGACAAAGCAGGTAACAACATTGTCTTCGTTTGTAAGGCTCATTATATTAATTGTATATTAGAAGAACTTGAATTTAATTCTACAAGTGGTAATCCTACTTATGCTCATACTTCCCTTTCTAAGGAAGGAATTCTTCAAAATCGTATGTCAGTTTTAATATTCCACAGAGCCAAAATGAATTTAAACTACCCTATATATATTGGATTCAGAAACTTTACAAACAAAGATACATTGCGGGTTCCAGTAAATGTTCAACCAACCCTCTTTCGTTACTTCTCACTAAAATATTGACAATAGTGAATGAAAAACTTCATATATTCAAGAAGTAGTGTGAATCAGATGTGGATACTCAAAATTTCAAAAGAACTTTTGGACAATTTGAAATCGAAAGATTTCACCAAAATCAACAGCTTAAAAACTCTCGACTTTTCAACTTCATACACAACCATTCCCCACAGTAAATTAAATTCTAGGCTTTTTGATATCATTGACAGCTGCTTTTTCAATAAAAATGGAACTCGTAAATTTACTTACCTGGTTATTGGTCATTTGCAAAATTATTTTGTTAAAACACATTCTGATTGCACACACAAATACTTTGAAGTTGACATCAAAAAGCTGCTCGAGTTTCTCATTGACAATATCTATGCGGTTTTTGGAGACCAGGTCTGCCAAGAATCTGTTGGAATTCCCATGGGTACCAATTGCGCTCCGTTGTAAGCAGACCTATATTTGTATTCATATGAAGCAGAATTTGTGCAAAATCTTATGCGTGAAAAGAAGAAAACACTTGTGGTGGCCTTGAACTCTACATTTAGATATATGGATGACGTATTGTCAATTAACAATGGTAATTTCCATTCCTACGTCGATACGATATATCCTGGTGAGCTTGAGATAAAAGATACCAGAGTCTGACACAAAGTCATCTGTTTCATACTTGGATATTTTACTTGAAAAAGACGTTAATGGTAATTTAACAACCAAGCTGAATGATAATCGTGATGACTTTATATTTTCTATCCCCAGCTTCCCTTACTAATGCAGCAATATACTGAGTACCTTCATCACCTGCCACATGCACTTGTTTCGGTACTAAATTTTTAAGCCATAGTATAATAATAACAAAAGGTATCTAACTCCAAATAACACTAAATACACCCCCTCCCTCAGAAAAGCATTCATTTAGACTGCTGAGCAGGGATTAATCTAGATTTTGGGGGAATCTACCCTTTCTGGAGAAATTGGAAAAATCAGCCGGGGTCTGGGAACCACTCGAGCGAGTGCAGGGGCCAAATAAAATTTAAGAGCATAAAATAGCAAAGTAAAAACATATTTCTCATATTCTGAAAATTTAAACTTTAAATTTTTTGTTTCATCAAGGAAAAAAGATATTTGAGGTTTTTGTTATTGGAAGGGGAATATTTTACTCATCAAAAGGGGAAAATTAGATCTTCAGAGTTAATTTTCTCAAGGGGAAAACACCGAATATTGGTAGTGAATATGCCCTAGATTATGTCCCTGCTGAGACATGCCATATGGTGGGATTCATTTTTGTTAAAATCCGATGTCAACTTCCTGTTTATCCGTGCATCTCTCCATACCATACATAACAAATTTTTGTCGCAGTTTTCTCAGCAACTGCTCATCGCGGCTGCTTAAAATTTTAGCACATTCTTTGCTGAAGCATGTTATATAATGAGATTTCATTTTTGTTAAAATTCGATGTCAACTTTCTGTAAATTGTGTTTATCTGTGCGTCTGTCCGTAACAGATTTTCGTCGCAGTTTTCTTAGCAACTACTCTTTGCAGATGCTTGAAATTTGAGTACATTCTTTATAAAGGCATGCCGTATGGTGGAATTTTTGGTATAAATATGATGTCAACTTCCAATTTATCCGTGCGTGTGTTCGTAACTGAACTTGTGCTTTTTACTGTGATAGTGTATATTCACATCAGAGCGGGGAGTTTTACTAGTGAGCACTGGCTCAAAGACTTCTTGTTTACACATTGAATCTACGACGGATCTTTCCGTTATTTCCCCATCATGACAGGGAGCACACAGCAGATGTGTCTGATCGGCTCACTTCTCCATGGCACCTGATCCCACCTCTTATGTTTTGGAGGTCCGTGGTTTATCCTCTCCTTTTTTGTAGTGTTAAATAGACTTTTGAGATTGAATACTGCTCCGTTATCTCCTTATATTTGATCATTAATTATCTATTTTAAAAAAGTAATAGCATTTGAGCTAATATATGAATCCGTCATGAGAAAAGGGCCCTTATCTTTTGACGTCACAATGCTCAGAAAACGACGTCAAAGTCGCGTTATTGTAAACACGGAAGTAATTTTTGTTGACTGCATTTTGTAAACAAGAAATAAAATTTCAAAGTGTAACAAAAATTTGAAACTTGATGCGGACATTTTTTTTTTAATAGGTATGTAATATCATTACAATTTAGTACGTAAATTTATTCATAATTTTGTTTACGTATTTAACTTGATGTTGATATAGGGGAATTGGACATGCACATTGCTAGCTCTGGAACAGCGATTAAAACGATGTCTACTGTATGCATGACTAAATTAAAGATGCTGCAAATTTGTTTTCTGAGCATTGAGCAATTTACAAATACATGCTTAAATTTGAATTCACGTTAAGAAGTCTTAATATTAAAGGTATATTCCACATACATGTATTTTTTTTCAGAGAGAGAGTGAGAGAGAGAGAAGCGCGAGCGAGAGATCTATGCACATATAGTAATTACCGTTCTTATGAGCGCTACTTTTTTCCTGAAAAATATATATCATAATTTAAAACGTATTTAGCCATTTTAATCATAATCCATAGTTAATCATACTGATGTATCCCGATAGCCAGCGTTCGCTGAACTGTCGATTTTAAAATGTGTGTAAAAAAAAAAAAAAAAAAAAAAAAAAAAAAGGGGGGGGGGGGGGGTAAGAAAACGAGCCAAAAAAAAATCTCCGAATAAAAAGACCGGTAAAAGTTAACGCTGAGAAACATAATACCTCTTTGATTGAATAAAGATACTGCTAACATGGGAGATCCAAACCTTCTACATGTACATCAACAATAAATAATTATTTACTAAATTAACGGTAATAGAATATGCTAAGGAAAAAAATACGGATGATGGGGATGCCACGAAAATTTTGCTAAAATAAATTTTGTTTCAAAAACTAATTTAAAATTATCAAATAAATACATTCAAAGGAATGGTATGGTAGAAATTACTATTGTTTCAAATTTCAGAAATTGTTCCGATGAAATGAATGAATGAAAGCCCACTGGAACCTATTTTGCAATATGTTAAGAAATTAAATACAGCTTTAATTGTAGAATTTTCCCAAAAGCATTATACCCAATGTTGAAGAAATTAACAATATTACATTGACAGTGATATTATGAATAAGGATATTTATAAACCAAAAGGGAAAAAACTATAGATTAAGCAAAAAAAAAAAAAAAAAAAAAACGTACGAATTTCTGGATAATATCAGATATATGGCTACATCTCTTGAGAATACATCACTCAAAGAGCAAAAAGTATGTTACAATTTGTTATGGGTGTAATTTCCAAAAGTTGTGAAAATGTTTAAAAACTTTAATGAGCGTGAAATATATATCAATGACTATTGAATTCATGCTATGAAATAAATAAGTCACATTTTGCGTTGAAATCTT